TTGTTTTATATTATGTATAATATAATTTATAAGAACTCGCTCCCCAACAAAAGTTTAGTATTAGGGAGTGCGGAAATATTGTTATCTAATTATTAAAATTATGTATATTTTGTATTGTACTATGTCAATAAATGTATATTATTATTATGTATTAAGTAAATAAGTCATTAGCTGATCGTAATGTACTTACAAGCTCGGAGCTATTCCTTAAGGAGAATTACATAGCTGAATCTGTATTTTTTTTTAATATTCCAAATTTAAAATGACCAATCTCAATATCTAATCAGACATCGCCTAATAACTCAATGTGTAGTAGTAATTAGCAGTAAGCAATAGCTATAAATTTAAAGCCCTATGCTTTAAAAAAAAAAAATCATTAATCGATATCGTCCACCGTCAGACGGCAGGACTAATGTACAAAAATGTTTATATTAAAACAAATCTCCAATGCTGATACATATAATATTAGTTATTAACACAAGGGTACCCCACCTTTAGAGGACGGAGAAGTACGATTAATGAGTAGAATTTTCTTTAACTTATTAAATGTTGTGGCACCTAACGATATGCAGCGCAAGCTATAATTCTTTACATATTTTTCACACTCCCGCTAACGTATAAGTATTATTTCATAAGCACGGCTACAGCTATACTTATTCATAGATTATGTATTTAATTAATTACGTGTTTTTATTTGATCTGTATATGCAAGATATATTAATAAAATACACGTAGAGTCTGTAATGCAAATAGTATAACAGCGCGACCTGTCGGCCAGTGCAAATTGTCGGACGTGCGGATGTGTCATGTGCCGTGATCGCGGAGAACGGTTGACACCGGAGCCGGTGCGCGAGGACCGAAGCAGTGCCGGCGCTAGGGGAGGACAAATGGGACAAATGTCCAGGGCCCCGCGCTTGTTTTGATTTTAATGGGCCCCGCGGTTTTTAATGATCATCTTAATACAGTGAAATACATTGACATTAAATAAAAAATATAAATCTATTCTATTATTTGTTTATTATCTGTTCTATTATTCTATACTATAAATGTATAATATTAATATGATTCAATGATTTTTATGAAGTGTTATGACAAAATATTATGTATAGATACCTAAACAGTTATTTAGAAAACAATATCTAAATTTAGCCATAGTACAAAATAAATCGTTGTTACCACGATTCAAGAGTGTACCTGACGGCCGCTGAGAGCGGTCGTCACCTGGGCCGGTGCCAGTGGACCAAGGTAAAAGAACGTGTGCAGCTGACCGACTGGTGACCCGAGGTGCGGACATGCCGTGACTGCGGAGAGCGGACGCAACCGGGGCTAGTGGCCGTGAAACGAAGGTTAGGACCTGTGACCGAGGCAACGCGCATCCGCATTTACGAGTGCGGTGTGTGACGGCTGTAGGTAGAATTCCCGGGCTGTCTTGGAGAGACGGCCGTGGTCGGACGGCTGCGATCATCGTTCTTAAAAACTAAGAAAAAAATCGCCCTCCTTCTAAAATTTTTTAAATCTTACTGAATACATTATTGGGATATTTTATTCTTCTTCCGATTATAATATTTTATATTTTGAATTGTAGGATATGATTTATTTTTTAGCAATGGAGGTATATTAATTAAAAGGTACTATTATTTAATGGGATGTTATTTTGATTAAATCATTTATGATTTATAAATGAGGTGTTATCATTTTTAATTTAGTTATTCATTAATAGATAACAATTAATTTTCATCTATTTTAGATACTTAAAACATATTTTTTAAATATTTTATTGATTATATATTTGTGACAACTGTGAATAAGTGTATAAGTCGATTTCAGGGGAGCAATTTTAAACTTTGACCGACTACCATAAATCCCTACTTAGCCAATAACTCACATCTCTCTTAAGGTTTTCTTGTTGGATCAACGAATTTTCAAGACGTGCCAGACGCCTCGGACTACATCCTAGCGTACTAAGTCAATTTTAACCAAAATTCGACTTACATACTTATTCACAGTTGTTACAGATTTATGCTGGAACCTTATTTAGTTTAAAATAAAGTTAAAGTTATAACGCTTTACTTGTAATATAATCATTTTTTATTTTTATGCAATTACTTATTTAAATAGGTACTTGAAACAATTATTTCATTTTTATTAAAATACAAATATGTGTAATAATATTATTTAAATGAAAATATATTCATATAGTAATTAAATATTAATGCTATTTTTAGAAAGCATTATATAATACAGTATTTGAATATTAATTTTTAAAGTGCTGGTTGTAACTTGAAACTTTTATAACTTTTCAGCAATAATATAATTAGTTAGAAATCATGACTTTCTAACATTAAACTTTGAACAGCTTTTTCGCGGTTTTCAAGATCCAATAAAAACGCATCCTTTATTTTGGATTTTTTTAACCTAACCTGTAAAACGGTTATTGCTTTGTTTATACTTTTATAGCATAACCTAAAATATTACAAAATTTGAATTAACGTTGAGGTTATTCGGACACGAATTAAAACTACATACGATTATACTAATTTTCTGTTTTTAATATATGTTTGTTGATATTTTTAAGAGTAAAGTACTTTCCTACTTTAAAGTTTTACCAATAATGTTTCCTATATCCGCCAAGCTTAGATATAGGAACATATTTAGCATGACTCTTAACGGTATTAATATTGAAAATTCAAAGTTCCTAGCTTTTAAACTACAGATGGTAATTGGAATACATACAGGTAATAATTATAGCTTAATCTTATACAATTTCTCAGAAATGTGTATTAGCATATTTTTGTAAAATCCTGATTTGTCTATACAACATAACTTATAGTAATAGACACAAACAATCTCAGTGGCCACAAACACGTGTTTATTAAACTTGTAGTTCGCTTTTCAAAATTCTCAAGCCCTCGTGGATACCGAGTTAAAATGGTGACCACTGAGATAACTATACTCTACACTTTTCCTGTTTTTAAAGGCAGTCGTACAAATTTACAATTTATGTTATTTTTGACAACACCCTCACTATTATTAAAGTTGTTTATTTTCTAGGTATTTTCCAAAGGTGTTTTCTAAAATGGTGGATATTGGTATTATATCAAGAATTGCCAGCACAAACTTAACCTCAAGGTTCATTGCAAAACTACTAACAGTCTTAAGATGGAGAAGTACCAAATCTCCAGTATCCTTTAAAGCAAACTTTGGGCTAAAATTTAAATAAAAAGGAATGCGTGAATTAATCCTTAAAGAATATAGTATAGTGTAACTATGATCCTTTTATTTAGGGGATAAGATTTAAATTTAATAAAAAAAGGGAGATGTTATGCTATTAACTTATGATGTAAAATTGTTACTGAAATTTGTTGCTATTGTTATGTTGAGTTCAAAGTAAAATGAAAACATCATAGGGCCTCCAAATATTTGTCCATATAGTTTGTATATGCATTCAGCTCTAGTTACACTATTATTGTATTCTAATATTATTTAAAAGCTATTTTTAATATTGTGTTCATTGATGATATTAACTTTTCCTAATGTGTTAAGGAAAAAAAACAAACAAATCTCCAATGCATCCAATGTGCACAAAGCGTGGATACACCAAAATCACATAGCATCAATATTGTTTGTGCACAAATGGACTGAAAACAAATCTATTCATTACAATATTTTTGGATGTAAATTTGTAGTTAACTATAATGTATGGTGTTTTTATTTGTTTCAGCTTACTGTGCTTGTTGTATTTTGCAAATTTTGCTTTTGTTCACCTGCAACTTACCAAAGAAAACCAAACAGCATTTTTAAAAGCTACCTTTATTCTTGATCCAAAAATTAATAATCCTGCAGTACCTGCTTATATTGAATATTTTGCTTTTGTTCATCTGTGACTAATCATAGTAAACCCAATATCATTTTTAATAAAGCCTTTTTAAAGGCTTCTTTATTCTTTGTATAAACATTAATCATCTTGCTTACCTATATTATTTATATTAATATTTAAACATTTGCATATTAATTTTTAACTGCTTTTTTTGGAAATTGAGATTGAATTTTTTTAGATTTATTTTTCCATACTATAATATTTTTTACTAATTATGGCCAACAACAATGTCAATGGAATTGAAGAAATTAATGCTGTGGTTCCAGCTGTGATGATAGATCATGACTATGCACTACCAGGTATTATTTCTAAAAATTTATAATTTTTGTTCAAATTACATTTTAATTGTTCTCTCACAAAGTTCCAAGATTGGACCAAGTTGCAGAACAACAGCAAGTTCAACAAAATCTAAGGCCTGTCACATACACATTGATTCCTGGAGTACACCGAAGAGAGGAATTAGTGAAAGACAATCTTGGATTTTATTACTTTAGAAATAAATCAACAGAGGAAAAAATGTAAGTTGCTTAATCAATAATCACTATATGAAGTGAAATGTTTTATATTAATAATAATACATTTAGAAAATTGTATGCAAACAACATTTAGGGAAGGAAGTTAAATAATAAATTGTTAAAATATTATGTTATAATGAATTAATTAATGTTTAAACATCACGGTATGTAATTTAGATTTTTGAGATGCAAAGAGCATAATACTAATGGATGTCGATCTACTGCATGGATACACACAGATGCAAATGACAATAGGTTTACCTTAAGGAAAGCTCAAAACCACCAAAGAAGACATGACGACACATAGAAGAGGGAATTAAGGAACAGGCTTGGTAATCAATGTGTTGATCATAATCCTAGACCATATTCATTCAGCTCGATTTCTGTACATGGTAGCCATTGCTGAGTAAGTGAAAAATGTATAATAAGTATATCACTGTCCAAACAGTTAACTAATAAAATTGTTTACTAAAAATAGTACTCATAATAGGATATGGAAATGTGAGGGAATTAGAACTATTATTCTGATTTAATATTGTTAATTGTTCTTGACTTTCAGCTATCAAGAAGGAGCCGGCGACTACACTTTTTTGCAAGCAGCAGATAGGATGCGAAGGATCAGGAAACAAGTTTTCCCGCCTACACCGAGAAATCTTTTGCACTTACATCAGCTACTACAACTTGAAGAAAACCAGGAATTCAGTTTAACATTTCAAACACCACCCAATTTGTGAGTAAAAGAAAGTTAATTATTATTTGTTTAATTGTTATGTGATAAAATTGAGTTTATTATTATTACTATTATTCATACAGATTTTATCAAGGACCGCTTATGGCGAATGGAGTCTTTGCGGGACTACTATTTTACAACACAGCCTACTTGGAAGAAATTGTGGAAGAACTCACAAATGTATGACAAAAATATTGCCTACATTACTTAACTTTTTTTTGATTTTATATTTTTTAATTTTCCTAGGTAACAGTAGCTGGATGTGATGGAACATTTAAAACTACACCAAAAACCACAGATAACGATTGCTACCAACTTTTTACATTCCAAGTCGTGTATAAAATGTGGTGTGTAAACTATGTAATAATGTTAAAGTAAACATAATTAATATAATTTGTATACTTCCTGTTAATAAAAGTATATTATACTTCACTTATGCACAAAGGTTACATATGTAGATATAATATTGGTCACAAATAGTACAATTTTAAATAAACAAATCTTATCTAACTAGTTGGTAGTAATTTTACCAAAGTAGTTACAAAAACTGTATTTTTTTTTTTTACTTTCAGAGTTTTCCACTTGTCTATGCGCTGTTGACTGGGAAGACAGAAGAAATTTACAGAGAGCTGCTCTTCAGGTACATACGGAACACTGTTCCTTTGCAATATGAGAATGTCACCATTATCACGGATTACGAGAGGGCACTAATAAATGCAATTGGTGACCGCCCGTTTAAGCCCTTCGGGCGATATATTAAGTTTTAAAAGGGACTTTAAGGTTATTACGTGTAGCACACGGCTTAGCCAACCGTTTCCCGTGCCAGGGATCCACGTCCTTAGCCTTATCGCCGACCACTGCACTTAACCAGACAGTAGGTACGTTACACTCTTATATAAAAACATTGAAAAAAAAAATAAGATTACTAAAGGAAAATATTAAACTAACGCTAGATAGCGTGCACAGCTCTTTATTTAAAATACAACACAACCGTAAAAAATAATATAACGTAGCAAAGGTTAAACTAAAGCATATACATTTACACAATAATAATACAAAAGTATATTCCTCATTAATGCGGCAATATAAGCATAACATAAATATTCACTACAAAGTAACCAAAAAAGAGGTGTACATCTTGGTACAAGTACCACGTTAAGGTGGAACAAACATGCATAATCACCACTACTTATATTGGCCACTCTTAAAAAGTAAGTTTTTAAACTTAATATATAGAGTTGGTTTGATCATATTCGCAAACCAATTTTTGAAAGCCGTCCTAACTGATGTTAACACCCGCCCGCTTTAATCCCGATAATATTGTAGTAATAATAATAACCTGTAGCTACATTTTGATATAACTAAATGATAATAAGTAATAACATAATCCATGTAGTTCACTAAACGACTAGATATTATCGTGGAAACCTTATATTATTATTAAATATATATATAATAAATAATATATATATATGTATATAATATATTATTAAATTGCGATAAAAAGCCGGTTTGGTCACCGGTGGTAAAAGTTTGGTTAAGTTAGTAGCGGACTCAAGTCGTTTTTTCTTTCAGTAGTGTGCAAAAGGTGCAATCAATTGGACGGCTCCAAAAAGTAAGTTATCTAAAATACATACTTTGCATTAGTTTTTCGATAAAATAAGTTTCAAATAGCGGTGAGAACAAATGTTAAATTCTGTTCAGCTCGTATTATTAATAAACTATGTAGTACGTAATTATTTGAACTTATTTCATTATTTTGGTTATTTTTCCCAGTTTTTTTTTTCAAATTTTCCCCTAATTTTTAAGCATTTTTTGAGAGTACTCAATTTGAAACTTACACACATTTGTAAAATTTTCTCAGCTTTATAAAAAAAATTTTTTTATTATTTATGTTTTGGGCAACGCGAATAATTGTTATGAAAATGAAATATAGCTTGGAAGTTATATTAAATTTTACACATATTTATGTTGACAGATCGTAAATTTTATTTTCCACACGTACGAGGGTCGGCGTGGCGGTGGTGGCGGAAGGGGAGGTCGTGGTAGAAAAAGAGGCGGCGGCGGCGGCACCGGTGTCCCGAAAGCCTTTCGAGGGCGTAATTTGTTACTATATCGGTTAACCGATTTTCTCATATTATGTATAAACTCAACTAACCTTATAATATATTTCAGGTTGTAATCTGTGCAACGTCAGAGGCCACCGGGCAGCGGAATGCCCCAAGAAGAAGGGGCAGGACGGGGGTACTCAAAAGACCTCTCCTGCCCAAAACCCGCTGCAGCCGCCGCCGCCAAAGAGACGGCCGAGGACCCACCTCCCCAAGCCGCCGAGGAAGAAACCACCGCCACCGCCATCCAAAAAGAGCCGTCCAATTAGGGGGGGGGGGGGTAAGGTATTACATTTTTTTTTGGTAAGCTGAATGCATAATATCTCAAGAATATTGTGTCAAAATTTCAAGTCGATCGGAACAAAATTGACGACGTTATGAGTTGTCGGAATTTAGCTGGCAGAATATTCTTTATCAGACTAACCGTATAAACACCTGACCACTACACTGATATCTCATTTGCCTAAATACTTTGAATTTTCAACTACATTAAAACAAAATTAAGATTGTTAATTTTTTTTTTTTATACTTGTATCATATTGTACAAAATTAATATTGATTGAATATTTTTTACACTAATACAAGTATCTTATAATATTCTAGACTTAAAACTATAGTAATATAGGATACTTTTAGTTATCGTTATTATTTACGTGTCTTTTTTCATTTTCTTTTATGTCTTAAATCAACTTTTATGCATTGTCATTTTCTCTCATGTCTTAAATCAACTTTTATGCATTGTTATTTTCTCTTATGTCTTAAATCAAATTTTATGCATTGTCATTCATCGTTCATGTTAATAAAACATTTTCTGTCACTGCGACAACTAGAGCGTTATTAAAACCTACCTAGTTACTAACATACACTATCACCTACAACCTACAATCCTAAACATATATATTACATATTTTTTATTATATATGCCATAAAAAAGAATTTGTTATTTTTACACGCCTTTAGTGGTTGTGACACAGTATCAAGTTTTTTTCAGTATGGAAAATTAAAGCATATTAAACTATTACATAAAAGAGAAGATATTAGCAGCATAATATCAGTGTTTTATGATGAAAATGCTACGTCTGATTCTATTGCCAAAGCAGGACAGATTTATATTTTAGCGTTATATGGAGCGCCAGAAAAAGAAACTTCTTTAAATGAATACAGATATAAATGTTTTACTAGAAGTACGACAAAAAATAAATCAAATATGTCAAGACTGCCACCAACTGAAAATGCAGCTAATTATCATTTGTATCGCGCATACTCCCAAGTACAACATTGGATCATCGTTGAAAAAAATGCAGAAGACGTAAGTTACATTTATAAATATTGGAAACATTTTCTTTTCTGCATTTAATTTGATCGATGTTTTAGGTTGTTACCAGTATGGGGACCATAGCCACCTCGCCAGGGACTGCTCGTCATCAGGTCCGTTGGCGACTCATTCTAGCAGTCCTACACCAAGTTCTTATATATTTGATGTCACCATCGTCGTCACTGAACGATTACTCGGACCTGCCGACCAAAGTGACCCATCTGGATATTAACAATCAGACAGGAAGTTCAGATGGGGCAGACAATCCCCAACGGGAAGTCTAGTTGGAGGACAGCAATCAAAATGATTTGTCTTTAACGGTAATGCCTCTAGCGGGTAGCGGCGGCCTCGTCCTTTGTCCGGGGGCTGGGTGCCCTGCGGCGATATGGGGTCAGCTTCCGGGGAACGTCAGGTTCTCCGAGGGCGCAATGTGCAGACCCGCTTCAGCGGGCCTTGCTTCGCGGCGTCCGTTCGTGCCCGTCACGACGGCTAACGAGGATCCAGTCTCACGCCCTCGAGGTGAAGGGCTCTTGGCCGGGTTCGATCCTCTTTGGCGGAGTTCGATCGGGTATCCGTATTACGTTGTTGCTGGTTTGGTCTACCGTTGGGCCCCGCCGGGATCGACGGAACTTAGCGCCTTGCGGCCGCTGATGGCGACTTATGTTGGCCCCCATGTGTTAACACCTTGGGTGCGAATTCGCGCGTGACGGAAGGTTCACGGCCTTTCTGGCGGCGCGTGCGCCCGGCAGTCGCGGGTCTGGCGTACACCGGGCTCCCGGCTTGTCCGCGCGTTGCCGCCACGGGAGGACGGGGTCTAGTACGGGCCGCACCGGTCTCATTAGCCGGCGAGTCGGCGGGCACAAAGTTTGCCCGCCCAGCGGTTCCGTGCGGGCTTCGTCCAGGTCGCACTGGAAGTCTAATTTGTCTCCGGTCCGGCGGCGCCCCATGTGGCACGGGTTCGAAGGTGCGTCCATGGGTCGAAAGTATAACGCGTAGTGTCTCGCCTTAATTGACCGGGCACGGGTCTAGCGCTAAGCGTTCAAAGGCTGGAGCTGCCTTCACAACCGGCCAACTGGTCTTAACCGATTGGTGCCCGGGAGTCGTCATTCGGCGTCCGTGAGAGCTAATGGGGGTCGCAGCTCGAGCTGCGACCGTACGGATACCTTGCGTGCTGCCCCTGGGTACCTGAATTACGCCCAGGCGGTGGCCTAAAAACCCGCGAAGTGAATGAAGCCTCATTCAAAGCCCTAGTCTGCCCACGTGGAGCGGGGTCGGTCTGAGTCAAGACCGGCACATGACGGGACGAATCCTCGGTTAGTACGGCGGTGCCACCCGTCATGCTAGCCATTTTACCAACATGTCACAACAATTAAGACAGCCTCGGATAGGGAACCGATCCTCAAATATGGCGGTCCCCGACAGTGTTGGGGCGGCGCAACCCGGGTCAAGTACTTGTCCCGCGGCGGCCGCATTTAGGTGTGCTGAATGTGGTAGGGAGTTTACCACCAAAATCGGTCTAGGAGTGCACGTGAGTACAGCACACAGAGTTGTGGCTAATAGCCAAATAGTAACAGGCCGGACCAGAAGGGTCTGGTCTGATGAGGAGAAACGCGTGTTCGCGAAGCTGGAGAAGGACGAAATCATCTCCGGCACCGCCGCTGCTGGCCTTGTTAAGGCGCTTTTCGCAAAGCATTTTTTTGGTCGAACCCGTGATGCCGTAATCGGCCGGTGGAAGCAACCCGAGCACCGGCGCCTTGTGGCGTCGATGGTCGCGGAATTCCACCGCACGGGGGAGATCGCAAGCGCGAGCACCGGCGGCCAGCCGCAGGAACCGGCTCGCGAGGCCGACGCGTCACCCGTCGCAGGCCCTTCGAGGTCTCGACGCGTGCGCTTTGCTTCGCCAGCCGCGTTAGATGAGTCCGCGGCCGATTCGAACGCCGCATGCTACGATGGGAGCCGGAGCCATGGCCACGGGGATTCTACGGAACCCGGGAAGGCAGCGACGGTGCTTTTAGCTGCCCAGAAGGCCGTTGAGCAACTAGCCACGGTTACGGGCCATGGCGTCGAGCGGTTACTGAACGCCGCGCGCTCCCTAGCAGAACACGGCGATGATCCCTCAGATGCGACAACCAGTTGGTATCGCGAATATAACAAAGTTAGCCCGATCGGAAGGGCGGTGGCCAATGATGGTACGACGACTAGTAGTGTCCGAACGCGTCGTACCGGAGGCCCCCGCACCGGAACGACCCCTCACGCGGCCGCGAGTTCCAATACCGCGAGTCCCCGTGCAGCGAGCAGTGGCGATAGTAATAAAAGAGCCGGCCCGTTCAGAAGGCCGGAAGTCGATAAAGGCGCGGCGCGGTCCACCACGCGAAAACGCCCCGCCTCAGACTCCCAGACCGGAATGACCCCTGACGCGGCCGCGGGTAACACCGCGCGGCCTCGTCCAGCGCGTTGCGGCAAAAAGATGTTGAGTTCCGCGCTATACCGGAGGAATGTTTCAGAATGGAGGACCAGACCGGAGAGCGTCGTACAGCGAGTTCTAGGAGGCGAGACCACGGGGGAGATGCCCCCGCTAAGGTTATGTTCGATTACTGGAGACCGATCGTCGGTTCGCTGGCGGAAGAACCGTGTCTCAGATTTAGCCTCGGGCCGGGTGAAAGCGTTAACCCGACCCTTGTCCTGTACGACATCTTCGCGACGGCGATCTTGCCCGAAGAGGTAACCAAATCCTTTCCGGGTGCCAAAATTGCGCCGGGCCCTGATGGGTTCACGGCCCGACGTGAGCGGAAACTTCCTTCCGTGTTGGTGGCTGGAGATTTCAACTTGTTTATCGCGTGCGGTAAACTGCCAGATTATCTGGTAGCTTCCCGCACTGTCTTTGTACCGAAAAAGGGCGACGGTGGTGACCCAGGTAACTACAGGCCGATTTCGATCGCGTCTATAGCCCTGAGACACTACCACAGAATATTGGTTAGGCGTCTGGAGGCAATGTCGTTGGTCGACATTTTTTCAGGCGAAGGGCCAGTGTTCGAGTCAATTCTCGGTACACGAAGGCGTGAGACAGGAGGACCCACTTTCCCCGCTTCTATTCAACCTGGTAGTTGACATCGGACTATAGTCGCTACCTAATACAGTCGGATCCCGCATGGGAGAGACCCTCGTTAACGCTCTGGCCTATGCCGACGACGTCATCCTGGTGGCAGAAACGTCAATGGGACTGAGTCGGGCGTGCGATACGTTCACGGGTCAAATGGGGGATGCTGGCATGCGACTCTGACCCTAGTGCCTTCGGGTCGGGAACAGAAAGTCAAGGTAGTTCGCGAGGTTTACTCCGTTGCGGGGTCGAACCTCCCGGCACTTGACGTGAACGACCTATGGCAATATCTGGGCGTCAGTTTCGCAAGCGGGCGCCTCGTCGAATACAATGGCCTGGCATATGCAACGGCCATCGAGAGAGTGTCTAACGCCCCGATGAAGCCCCAAATGCGTCTGGCTTTGGTATAAGATTATCTCATTCCGAAGTACGTTCACGTACTGACGTTTGCGGAGGTCTCGGGCGGTAAGTTGCGGAGAATGTCACATGTCACAAGATTGGCCATCCGCCGCTGGATAAACCTGCCCTCTTCGTCTCTTCGTGTCCCAATTCGTTCATCCACGCGCAAACATCGGCGGGTGGCTTGATCTTGAGTTTTTATCGTTCGTTCCCAAAAAATCGCTTCAACAGGTTGGTAAGACTTGATAACTCGACGGTTTCGGCCGTGCGCGAGTCGTTCGCCCGCCATGGCGCACGAGCGCTCGCGGGCGTCTGGCGTTTAGTCAAACAAGACCAACTCAAGCCCACCTATGCCCGCAGTCTCCATGAGTCGGTCGACGGGTGCGAGCTCAAACTATGCTCGGAGGCCGCCGAGTCGGTAGCGTATTTGCGGAGTCCCCACGGTATACCCGGCAAGGACTTCAAAGATTACGCCCGGCTTCGGATCAACGGTCTCCCGAGCCGCAAGCGCTGTAGCCGCGGGCGCAACGGCCCCACCGGGTGTCGGCATCCCGTCGGAGACACTTGCGCATATAGTTCAAAGCTGCCCGCGTACAGATGTAGGCCGGCTGCTCCGCCACGACACGGTCGTCAGGCGGATAGCCGGCGCCCTAAGCGACAACGATCGACCGAAGTACGAACGGTCGCGGCCACGATCTCGTAGCGCGGTGTTTGGGTACATCAGAGTATCCAAGCGCTCCGCGGTTTTAGGTTTAAGCTCGGGCCTGCTCGCGGGCATTACCACCCGTTTTCTCAAGGACTCACGCACACCTTTAGGCAGCTGGCATGGGGTAATTACCCCCGGAGATCCCGTATCAACAAAATGAGGGCCAACCGTTTCCCGTGCCAGGGATCCACGTCCTTAGCCTTATCGCCGACCACTGCACTTAACCAGACAGTAGGTACGTTACACTCTTATATAAAAACATTGAAAAAAAAAATAAGATTACTAAAGGAAAATATTAAACTAACGCTAGATAGCGTGCACAGCTCTTTATTTAAAATACAACACAACCGTAAAAAATAATATAACGTAGCAAAGGTTAAACTAAAGCATATACATTTACACAATAATAATACAAAAGTATATTCCTCATTAATGCGGCAATATGAGCATAACATAAATATTCACTACAAAGTAACCAAAAAAGAGGTGTACATCTTGGTACAAGTACCACGTTAAGGTGGAACAAACATGCATAATCACCACTACTTATATTGGCCACTCTTAAAAAGTAAGTTTTTAAACTTAATATATAGAGTTGGTTTGATCATATTCGCAAACCAATTTTTGAAAGCCGTCCTAACTGATGTTAACACCCGCCCGCTTTAATCCCGATAATATTGTAGTAATAATAATAACCTGTAGCTACATTTTGATATAACTAAATGATAATAAGTAATAACATAATCCATGTAGTTCACTAAACGACTAGATATTATCGTGGAAACCTTATATTATTATTAAATATATATATATAATAAATAATATATATATATATATATGTATATAATATATAATATATTATTAAATTGCGATAAAATGCCGGTTTGGTCACCGGTGGTAAAAGTTTGGTTAAGTTAGTAGCGGACTCAAGTCGTTTTTTCTTTCAGTAGTGTGCAAAAGGTGCAATCAATTGGACGGCTCCAAAAAGTAAGTTATCTAAAATACATACTTTGCATTAGTTTTTCGATAA